GCTAAGAGGCGTGCAGTACAGGTGCTGCTAAGAGGCGTGCAGTACAGGTGCTGCTAAGAGGCGTGCAGTACAGGTGCTGCTAAGAGGCGTGCAGTACAGGTGCTGCTAAGAGGCGTGCAGTACAGGTGCTGCTAAGAGGCGTGCAGTACAGGTGCTGCTAAGAGGCGTGCAGTACAGGTGCTGCTAAGAGGCGTGCAGTACAGGTGCGGCTAAGAGGCGTGCAGTACAGGTGCTGCTAAGAGGCGTGCAGTACAGGTGCGGCTAAGAGGCGTGCAGTACAGGTGCTGCTAAGAGGCGTGCAGTACAGGTGCGGCTAAGAGGCGTGCAGTACAGGTGCTGCTAAGAGGCGTGCAGTACAGGTGCGGCTAAGAGGCGTGCAGTACAGGTGCTGCTAAGAGGCGTGCAGTACAGGTGCGTCTAAGAAATGTGCAGTACGAAGAGGGTCAAGGTGAGATTATTTATTTATTCTATATCTCATCTACACTAAATAAGGTACACTGCACTGAGGTACTTGTACGTAAGGATTAGGTACTTAGTAGTTATGAATTAAGTACTACTCAGTAGGTACTGAATGGTACAAGTATTCAAGTACTCAGTACTCGAGTATTAGTACCTAAGAAGTGAACATGTTGCAGGCGTCAGCTGGTGACGTCGACGCCGTGCTGGATCGAGCTGCACCTCAACGGCCCCATGCAGTGGCTGGACCGCGTCCTGACACAGATGGACTGCCCCCGTCTCTGCAGCTCCAAGTCTTAAGTGGTGCAGTTACTGCAGTCCTACAGTCTGGTGCAGTTACTGCAGTCCTGCAGTCTGATGCAGTTACTGCAGTCTGGTGCAGTTACTGCAGTCTGGTGCAGTTACTGCAGTCTGGTGCAGTTACTGCATGAGCAGATGTAATCTTTCATTATTTAGAATTGAAAGTTCACGGTTAGTAGAAACCATTTATTTATATATCTGCCCACGCCATGTTCGTAATTTGTCGCTTGTAAGGATGTCTGGCTTCTACGGCCCTTAATTCTAGCTGTTCTATCATTATGAGTGATTCCATGTGAATTTTCCAGCCATGTTCTGATGAGGAATTCGTTGGGTCTTCGTTTGACCAAGATTTCTGCGTTTCAACCAAGGCTTCTCATTGCATTTTAATATCTCTAGTAACCCTCTACTGCCGTATGTCACTCTCTGGAACATAACTTTCAACTTAAATTACCTATACGTAAACTATTGAGTGTAGCAACTTGAGGACGTTTGTACGCAACAGAGAACATTTTAAAGTTGTCGTACGTGGCGGCAAATTATACGTAAACTAGTGAGTGTAGCAACCTGAGGACGTTTGTACGCAACAGAGAACATTTTAAAGTTGTCGTACGTGGCGGCAACCATCAGTGCAAGTCATTTTGCGCTCACTAGAACGTATCATTTTTGGGCAGTAGGCTTGTGACAATATTGCTCCTGTTACTCATGTCAGGCGGTAGAGGGTTATCCATGAAATCCACGTCTTGGCTTGCATCTTCCCTTCACAGCGGGGAAATTTAAAATTGAATCGTAACGATCACTTTTATGGAATCTTTTATTGGAGGAAGCAAGCTTTGCCACTTTTCAAGCTTAAGTGGATGATTTCAGTGATAATTTATCTGACTTTATTAAAAAGATATGGATGTCAATGAACATACGTTTAAGGAATTAATGAGAATTTAAAGTCTTCGAAAGTAGCGCGTGATGGATGAGAAATTTTTATTGTTACCGCCCGTAGTGGACGACATTTCTGACATGGATAGTATGCTTTCAGAAAGTGAATGCTGAAAAACAAAATTCAATTAAAATCTTTCATTCCTGACCGATTAGTTGATGTTTTAGGTTTTTTAGTCTTATCATTGAACTCCTTCAATGATAAGGAATTTGTATTTTGAGTAAAAATCTGAACAAACCTTATCTAATTTAATGGACTGGAAATAGTTTCCGCGGCCGCTCTCGGTTATTGATGGCAATGATGGAAATAAAGCAGCCTGAAGTTTCGTCTCAGCAATTCTATTGCAATTCTAGTTACATTTAAAATTTCGCGATATTACCCGTGCTGGTATCTCTTACTTCGTCACAGTTACTAACCATAGTCTGCATTGTACTGAATTCATTGTCTGTTTACTGACCATAGTCTGCATTATATTGTCTGCTTGTCATCAGGTTGTCTGCATCCACAATTCTCACCATATATCCACGCGCTATTAATATATAAGTGGGCACTTGCTTTAATTAACTTTTGATAAGATTTTACTGACTAGCAACGCTAAGCCATTTAATTCTCACTCAACAACCATGATTTATAATGCATTTATCTAAGAATTAATGTATTGGATAGCGTGGTAATTTTGAGTAACACTTCGCGTCTTGTTTAGTTTGAGCTTTTCTGCTCGAACTCGATGGTGAAAATCAAATTAATGTGTCTTTCAAGCATCTTAATGAGCTTCATCTTACTTAATTTTTTGATACGATATTAAAGTATCTGAAAATGTAGTACATTTTTGATTATATAATGAATTTTTTTATAATATAAATAATTATTGATAATATAATTAATTTTTTGATGATATAATGAATTTTTTACTTATATAATGAATTTTCAAAACACTCCTGCACCATACTCTCCGATTTGGCCTTCCCGCCAACGCAAAAATAACTTGGCAATATTTTTAACAAACTCAAATTCCTATCAAAATTTTTGTCACAAATGCTGACGAAAACCTGTTTTTCATCAAGAAAAACTCTTGAATTTTCTCTGTAACAAATAATTCTTCTGCATTATATGCCTCATCGTCAATTCATCTTCTGATAATCAAATTTTTTTAGCGTAAATTGCGCCAATCCCGTTTTCATTTTTTCGTGTTTTAGTTTTAGTTTGCAACGACGGACCTGTGCTACCTTTGAATATTTTTCGAATATTTTGAAAATATTCAAAGTTCCTTCTAAATATTTAGACGAAACTATGTGATTATGCCCGGGATTATGAGGACTTGGAACAAAATAGCGCTGCTTCAATTCTTCCCTCGATTTGTTTCATTAATAATGTCAAAAATAACAATATTTTAAGGCAAATTAACGTTTCGATGCTCACATTTTTTATTGAGAATATCTTTTACTGTTCTGGTAGAATATCTTCTAATGTAAATTTATTTGTTCTTTTGAATGAACATTGAGGGGATAACGATACAAATGTCCATTTCAGTTCAGTTGTGAAATGTTTTTTATTTTTATTCAAATGTATGACCATGAGTTCATTCAAATGTATGACCATGAGTTCATTCAAATGTTCTCTTATACACATCTAGATGTGTATAAGAGACAGACATAACAAATCTGAGAGCTGGCATTTTAACAAACATAACAAATCTGAGAGCTGGCATTTTGGAGCTGGCATTTTAACAAACATAACAAATCTGAGAGCTGGCATTTTGGCCAGATCTGTTCAAAACTGACGTTAACGCAAAGTAGCTGCTGATCATTCACCAATTTGTGACGTATGAGGCGCTTCTAGTCAGAAGTTCAGAACATATATTCCTCCGTAGCTTCATCTAGTCTGTTCTTGAACACGTTCGCGTAAACGATGCCAACTGGAGTTTTTTTCCACATGTCGGTGACTGGGAGCAAGAAGAAGTGTTGTCGGATTGGTGGCTGACTCCGACGTTTTTTTTTAATTGAATTTAGAAGTAAAATTTCTAATGCTATGATAATATTAAATACGAAAACTCGCATTTAATTGCAGAGCTATCTTCGCTGTCGTCAAACCCTTCACTGCCGGAGTCACAGCCCGTGTCGTACTGCGAGCCCGCCTTCTGGTGCTCCATCATCTACTATGAGCTGAACACGCGCGTCGGAGACAAGTTCCAAGCCTCTCTTCCAAACCTCAACGTCGACGGCTTCACTGGTCAGTGATTTATAAACTACTCTTAATGTTGCATCTTGATACTGCTGATTTGTCAAGTCTGCTCTTGATGTTGAATGTTGATGCTGTTTATTTGTTAACTGTTCTTAATGTTGAATGTTTATATTGTTGATTTGTTAACTGCTCTTGATGTTTATTGTTGATACTGCTGATTTGTTAACTGCTCATGATGTTGAATGTTGATATTGTTGATTTGTTAACTGTTCTTGATGTTGAATGTTGATGCTGTTGATTTGTTAACTGTTCTTGATGTTGAATGTTGAAATTGTTGATTTGTTAATTGTTATTGATGTTGAATGTTGATACTGTTGATTTATTAATTGTTCTTGATGTTGAATGTTGATACCGGTACAGTTGATTTAGTAATTGTTCTTGATGTTGAATGTTGATATTGTTGATTTGTTAACTGTACTCGATGTTGAATGTTGATACTGTTGATTTATTAACTGTTTTCGATGTTTAATGTTGATAGGTACTGTTGATTTGTTAACTGTTCCTGATGTTGAATGTTGATATTGTTGATTTGTTAATTGTTATTGATGTTGAATGTTGATACTGTCGATTTATTAACTGTTCTTGAAGTTGAATGTTGATACCGGTACTGTTGATTTATTAATTGCTCTTGATGTTGAATAATGATACTGTTGATTTGTTAACTACACTGCATGATGTTGAATGTTGATACTGTTGATTTGTTAACTTCAATGCAAGATGTTGAACGTTGATACTGTTGATTTATTAACTGTTCTTGATGTTGAAAGTTGATACTGTTGATTTGTTAACTACGATGTATGATGTTGAATGTTGATACTACCTACTGTTTATTTGTTAACTACGATATATGATGTTGAATGTTTATACTGTTGATTAGATAACTACACTGATGTTGAATTTTGTTACTGTGTTGAGTGACATATAGTACCAGATATACAAATCACCTTTACGGCGACTTTTCCTAAATAATTAGCCTACCAGTTACTTTTTAATGTCATACGATACGCAGAGCTGAAGTCTCTGGTTGGCTAGGAAAGTTTGAAATGTTTCCGATATCGCTGCTCCTGAGCATCATTTGCATGATATGCTTCAATGTGGCCTCACGTACCCTGACGTCTTGCCTCACGTACCCTGACGTCTTGCCTCACGTACCCTAACGTCTAGCCTCACGTACCCTAACGTCTAGCCTCACATGACCATGAGTTCATTCAAATGTATGACCATGAGTTCATTCAAATGTATGACCATGAGTTCATTCAAATGTATGACCATGTATTACGCTAATTAACCTTCATGCCGGGCCTGCTTACACCGTGACCCACAGCTTCACGGTCTACTGTACACTCAGAGAAATTGGTGACACTTTGTCAAAATAACAATGCACTTTATACCTTTTTTTTCCCTGACCCCTGACCCATTTTGTCCCTGCCGAAAGATCGCCTCAGTGCTACTTACAGAAAGTGTGTCAGTATTTAGAGAAAATAGACCAATAATTTCTTGTAGTGACTACGTTCTGTTTGTATTACGGTGTTAAGTAATTATACAGCGTGCTAATATACAGCGTGTGTTGTGGGTAGGAATATTTTTCTGTGTGCTTCTTACTGCTGTGTTTGTTGTGTGTTGCACACGTAGAGAAATAAGGTCAACTTTGTACTAATAATGATGCAGTTTTTGCCCTTGTTTGGGTCGTCTTGACCCAATTTAGACCGCTTTAAGTGCGTGTCCGTTCTCTCCTCGTGCTCTGTATAAAAAGTGCATCACTATTTGGACAAGGCAATCCATTTATATTTCAGTGTGCAGAGCATCCCGCTATTTTCCTCCCTTTGTTATCTCTTTGGAAGTATGCCAATTAATTTCTCATTAAATTAA